TCTCTCTCTCTTATTGTATGCGGATATATTCGTCCGTCTGCAATCTCTCTCATTCTCTCTTTTTGTCAGGCACGTAGCCACGGGGGGGGGGGGGGGGGGGGGGGGGGGGGGGGGGGGGGGGGGGGGAGGGGGGGCAGGTGCCCCCCAATTTTTTCTTCCAAGATCGGTTTAACTTTTTTTGACCCCTTTTTTGACCTCGATCGATTACATGTATGTGCCCCCCAAACATCAATCTCTGGCTACGTGCCTGCTTTTTCTCTCATTTTTTTTTCTACCTCTCTCTCTCTCTCTCTCTCTCTCTCACTGTCTATCTCTCTCTCTCCCTCTCTCTGTGACTTTGTCTCCTATGCATTCCCACTCTCTTTTCCCATTCTCCTGTCCGTTCCTGATCTCCGTTCAGCATGTCGGTTACTTAAAAGGGTCAATCAAATTTGTGAATAATGAAATTGATGTAAAATTTAGACTGAATTCGATGTGAATCAACATTTATTTGGTTAGCAAAATAAAAGTATTAACAGTACCACATGAACGTTTGCCTGGCTACCGTATTTCTGTATATTGTCTTATATCCAGAAAAAGATAAATGATCTACATGTAGTAAGTAAATATGATAACTATAGTTTTGTTTCAATCCAATTCAATTCATCATTGAAATTAAAGAATAACATACATACGTGCACGTTGAATAATACATGTACTGTACAAAATATCAAAATTGCTTGGTAGGTAGCAGCCAGAAATGAAGTGACCTTTATAAGTGGGCTCGACCTAAAGAAAATATAATTAACATTTAATTACATGTACCAGATTATAAAGACATGACAAAACACAACATTCCTACCAGAAAAATTACACATTACAGTGCATGACATAAAATTACAGATCAATGAAATGAAGAAGAAGGTTCGTGTAAAGATTAATATTTTGCAAGAATAACTGTTTATGTTTTAATTCATTTTTGTATGTTTGTTTTGGTATTCACTTTGAATTCTTCAAGGTTAGTCATTATCTTGATTTGAAGCCGTGTTGATAAACTCTCTGAAATATCTTTCTTTAACATACTTCTTCAGTTGCTGTTGAGAAAGTGGCAAACCGTGACGGAACTTCGAAGTAAATACCCCATACACACAAACTCCTCTTCCTTTCACAGCCTAAACGAAACATCAGGCCAGCGTTTCATTAAACCGTCATTATAGTACAAGTTCACCGAAATCCAGTTGAAATGCGGGGCCACTCTTTATAACGGAACGGAGGTAAAGGAGTTTATTATGGACAATAAAAGCAAAATCAACTGCCAATTACAGATGTCGTTGCTTAATAACAACCAAAGGTTGAATGCAACAATCAGCAATGCATAATTATCTTTGTGTATTGCGATTTCAGTTACCCCAATTTCGTCAGATGCTTAAAGTTAAGAATCAAATACATGAACATGTATAGCGTCATGATCGTTGTAGCAACCTTTATATTTCAAATTATGTTTAATTCAATTCAATTCAATTCAATTTGTTTTATTAACCATTTAAAATCAAAAACAATATACAAATTATGCGTGTATGAACATTATTGATACAGTGTAAATGGTCAGGGTGCCCCTAAAAGCCAAGGCTTGATGAATGGGGCCCCCTATACATAAAAAAATATACATAGCATAAAAAACAAGAGATACAAACAAACTTAGTTATACAAAACAACAAAAAAATCAAAACATTAAGCACTAAACATACAGGTAAAGGGGAAAAGGAAAAGGCGAAATAAAAAAAATAAAAAACGTAGGGAGGAGAGATGAAATTACATGTTTATTTGACGTAGGTAGTTATTATTGAACGTTTGAGTTTGGTTTTAAATGAAGTAACATTAGTGCTGGAGATTACATCAGAAGGGAGGGAATTCCATATTCGAGGACCAGCAGATTTAAATGCAATAAGAGTCGATTGATTATGTGCTAATGGTAAATGGAATTTGGAGTGGGAACGGGTATTATATTGGTGGTAGTCTTTATTATACTGAAACAAATTTGTTATATTAAGAGGTGCTAAATTATGTTTCACGTAATACATCAGGATCGCAATTTGGATTTCATGAATATCAAAAATTGTCAATGTCTTTAATCTTGCAAATAATGGGCGTGACGGAGCTAAGTAAGGGGAATTCGAACATATACGTAAAGCCTTTTTTGCAGTCTATGTAAAGGGGTCAATTTAGTAGTGCCACAACTTGCCCAAGTAATATTGCCATAATAAATATAGGGAAGTATTAACGAGTTGTAAAGCATTAACAGGTGCTTTTCTGTAAGGGTACTACGTAATTTAGATAATATACCTATGTTCTTTGACATCTTAACACTTATAAAAAAACGGTGTTCCTTAAATGATAGATTATCATCAAGTATAAAGCCTAGAAATTTGACAGAGTTAACAAGATTTAAAGTAACATCTTTCATTTTTATATGAAAATCTAAAGAATTGTGTGATACATGAGGTTTTCTAAAATACATAACATTAGTTTTTTCATAATTAACAATCAGTTTGTTAGCATCGAACCAATCGGCTATTTACATAATTCAGTATTGGTTTTTTCTAATAAAAAAATGAAATTGCTATGGGTTGAAATGATAGTTGTGTCGTCTGCAAATAAGACATAATCAAAAAAAGAAGACGCTGTACATAAATCATTAATATAAATTAGGAAGAGGAGCGGGCCCAGTATAGATTAAGTTTGAGCAATGGCACGCGCATAAAGGTAAACAAGGTCAAGGAAATACATAATTTGAAAGAGACAACGACAAATAAGAAGTTATGGATATAAGAACATTCTGAAATGAACAGGTGGATACTAATATACACTCTTTCTAAAATAACAGGGATGCATAATAAAAGAGAAAGTACACCTCACATCATGTTAAAGAAGAAAACGTAAGAAACGGAGAATAAATCTAAAAAGATAAGAAGAAATTAAAGTAGTTGTAAAGCTTTTAAGCCCCTTTTAGATAGGCAACTCTGAATGCGATCTCCTCTACATTTGTTTTATATGGAAAATTTCCAAAGAATATCTTCATTTGTTTTATATACAATCTTGATGATAGTGAATTGGTTATACACATGAGCCCCTATAGGAACATGTAACAATTTTATATTTCGGCCACATAAAAGTATGACAAAGAAAATGAAGGATGATGTTTAATGATATCTTTAGTACAAAGTGAACAGAGAGTAGCTATAAAATCACAACTTTTCAGATTTTTCTAAAACGTATAAAGACCATTTGCTCTACATGGAAACACAGACAAAATGAAATATATGAACAAGAAAAAAAAATCGGATATTTCCGACAACTTCAATGTTGTTTCTCCCATGTATTTTGCCAGACGGAAGGTAAAAAGGAAAACAAAAAGCATCATACTACAGTTCATCAAATTAAAAAGTAAACAGTTATTTTTACGATTGGTTTTACAATACTTTTGCAACATACACCATACAATCAATAGGTCGAACTTCATTGTATTAAACAGCATTACGATCACATAGTTTCCATAATTAGGATTATTATCTCCAAATTACTGTAAAATAATCTTTTAGTCCACAATCAAATTAAGTCTACATCATTTTTATATATTTACAACAGCTACCAAAAGTCAGATTCGCATGTAAAGTAATTATCAACGACAACATCTTGAAAGATAAACACGTCATGGGCCCGTTGTTTTAACGAAAAATGATGTTATTCTTCATTTTTCAGTATTCTCGTTTTATTCTAAAAATATGTCCGGTCGCACACACCCCCTCCCCCTCTACTGGCCTAAGGTTATCAGTGTTATCATACAGGGCAAGTAAGGCTGACTCATCCATTATTTCCAGTGGAATATATAGAGTCTATCAGGAGTGCAGAAAGCGATCTCTCCTGATTGGTACTGCTGGATAAAGTACCAGTTTCTTTCAGGCTTCTCAATCTTGTAATCAATGACAAGTTTCTGGACAGGCTTCAGCTCGTTAGTGTACTCATCAATGCTGACCAAACCTACATCGTGATTCACCTTGGCTATCAGGATTGTATTCCCTGAGAAACAGCGGCGAATGGGAAATAACTCAATTCCCTTAATTCATATTTTACAACTCCTTCTTTATCAATCAATCGTATTGCATCACAAGATCTGGTGACTAGATAATCATTATAACTAGTAATCTGCTGAGGTTCATACCCATCACATGGTATCTCCCTGATCGCCTTCCCACCTGCTGGTGAGAATACCTGGATCTTCTTGACTTTCCTGTAGCCAACATAGATCTGATCATCACTGTCTACAGTGAGGCTAGCAATTCCACCTTTATTGGCACTCAGAGTCTCAAACATAACATTAAACTTATGTGTGTACTCTAGTGTGTACAGTGTGATATTGTTTGAGCCATCAAGTATAACAGACCGATCATCAGAGAGGAACCCTACTCTACGAATCTTAACATGTTTGAGAATTGCCTGGTGGAGCTGACCATCAGCAGAGAAGATGTCCACGCCACCACTCTTACCACACCCCACTGCCATCCTACCGTCAGGTGTACCAACCATGGCAGTCATGCTATCCTTAGTAGGCAAAGCGATGTTTTTTGTAACTGCATTTGCGACCTTACCAAGACCTATCTCGTCCAATACAACGTTTCGCATAAAACGGATTCCTTTTCCTTTCTTGCTCGACTGCCTCGGCTGCTTGTAGTCAGGATCATCTTGTTTCAAGGCCTCTTGTAAGTCTTGACATAGAGTGTCGTGTGCAGCCAAAGTATCCATATCTAACGGTATCTTTGTCTTATTTGTTACAACGTCAGCTATATTGGTCAAGTGAGTGATGAGCTCCTCAGCCGATTTCTTCATTTCGTCCAGTTCCTTCTCTACTCCTTCGATCCTACCCTTGACTTCACTTACTAGGATTTCTTTCTTCTCTGTTAACTGCCGGACTGAATCTTTGTATGCTTTGTTGATATCATCTGTACACTGCTTCTGAACATTGCTCACACGCTCCTTCTGTTCATCAATGAAATCAACGTATTTCTGAAGCAAGAGCGTTTCTTGTTCGCCTTGGATTTGAGGTCCTCGATACTCTTCATATGGTTGCATTCATAAACAGCTACCTCGATGATCTGATGTCCTACGTTTGTATGCTCCATGACAACACACTTGAAGCAGGCAAATCTCCTACAGTCGGAACAGAAGCACTCCTCATCCTCTTTGGGGTGTTTCCTGCATTTACGGTATCTACGTACTGACATCTTCCCTGATACGATCTCAGTCATGGCTAAGACCTCATGAGTGATGAAGCCTGGCCACTGAGAATGTGTGTTATGGCAAGTGCTACAGAAATACTTGCCACAGTCTTGACAGTAGACAACAGCTTGGGGTTTTTCCTCGGATTTACAACTCGTGCAATATTGATATTGATTCTTCATGTCTTCAATGAGAGACTTCAGAGCCAGATTTGCCGGTAATTTGCTGACGTCTTGGTTTGGGACCTGTGTTTCAGCTCTGCAGACAGGGCATCGGAGCATCTGGTCGTTACCATGGCATTCCAAGAGGTTGTCCAGACAGATCGTGCAGTAGGTGTGGGAACAAGACAGGATCTTGGGATCGGTGAAGGTATCCAGACATACAGGACACTCTAGACTCTGAGCAATAACATTCTTTAATGCATCAGCCATGATTCGAATTCTATCAGAAAAAATTAGATAAAAGAAAAGGGGAAAAACAAAATAATTAGTGTAGCTTTGATTCATCTGATCGTATTAATGAGGACTGCTTATCATTTTCCTCACGCCTTTTCCCTGCAGAATAAATAGCGTACCAAAATATGATATTCCGGTATATCTTGATACAAAATAATGTATGTTATTCATCAACTGAATGTAGTAATGAAAATTGAATTAAAAAACAGAAATCCTTTGTCGCACTTCAGTCAATGTACATTAAAATGAGGAAAAAGGATGATGATCATAATAATGATAATATTTCATGACAACTTTGTCATTCAAATCACAAAAATATACCAGTCTGGGTGTTATATCAAATACGTACACATAAAAACGCTCTGCCTTTACAATGCAGAGGCAGAGGTGCACTTAGCATTATTAGTAGTACATTATATATCATTATTTAGTTTGTCAGTCTATTCTTAGTGACTGGGAATTCCCAGTAACCTTGACAGACTGAAACCTCGATTTCAGTTTGTCAAGCGTCTACGGAACAGATGTCTGCCCCCACCCCCCTA